AGTCTTTGTCTTTTTGAGGCACTTGTATAGAGTGAAATCACGAGGTTAGATGGGTCCAGGGCAGGGGAAAAATGGGAATCTGAAAGTTAAGCATAAGGCGAAGTGGAAATGTGGTCAACCAATAAGGTTAATTGCTCAAGTAAAATTGATTAAATTGGGAGCAAATGGGAGAGCAAGTCGTAGTAAGTGGGCATGTTTAAGAGCAGAGACTCTTCTTGTAGAGGGTTGGGATGGTGACTCTTGAGTTCCTCAGGGTGATCAGAGAACTGTTTGGACTGTTGGTCCTCAGCACTTCGTTGTATTTAATATACCTTTTGTTTTAAGATTTGGCCCACAGCAGGAAGTGATTGTCTCTTCCAATCCTGCAAGCAATGTGAACTTATTTTCTGGCTCCTTTGAGGGGCCAGCTCTGTTGTTATAGGCAGCTGAGTTAGTTAGAAATATATAGCCAGGGAGGCAGGATCAGGTCCTAGATGTAGCCAGCTCAGAAGCCCACATATCTTGCAGCTATGGGGGAGACAGATACCTCCTGTTATGGGACAGGCCTCAAGAGAAAATACCAAGCAAATGCGTCCATATCATAAGAATTGATTTTCTAAATAGTTCCCTGTCACCCTACTGAAGTCAGGAGTCACCCTCCCAGTCCCATAGAGGAGAGTTACTGCTCTGTAAAATGCCTGCTTTCTATGACCTCACTTCCCCATTTGTCTTCAGTGTAAATGATTTTACCAGAACTATTAATTATATTGGCTAAATATACCTCTGTCCAAAGTTTTGACCACCTGCCTTGTGAGTTGCCAATTTTCCCCACCTTAAACCCATCTCACCCCATGATTTTATTCTATAAAGTTCCTAGAAGATACAGACAACCCACTTATGACCCCTCCTGTTCTCTCAGACAGGAGCTTTCTGATAGTGTTTTCACTGTGGTAAAGGAGAGAATATAAATTAAAAATGGCCTTTATTCTAAGAAAGTGGAGAGTACAGCATGATCACTAGACATCTGCCTTTTTCTGCTGGATACATGGTGAGGGGGATTATATCTACTTTTTGACTTCGGTGGTGCATAAAGGTGGCATTGCTGATGTGCCAGTAGCTGATTGGGCCTCTTTTCATGCCACAGGTAAGTTGCCTAAGGGAGGGGTAAGTGACTTCAGGGTAAATGTCCCCTGGCCTGCTTCCCACTGCTGTAATATCCTATCTAGAGCAAAAATCTTTCAATTTTTTCTCTCAATAGTTTATTCTGCTCTTCACCTCCATTGTTCCTAAAATTCATTCTTCTATTTTATAGAACACAAACTCCTACCAGGCACAGAAGGTCAGGAGATTCATTCCATTATATCACTATCTGACTGCCTATATTTCTAAATAGCACAGATGCCTGTAACATTAAGAATTATTTATTTATTTCACTTAGCATAATTGTAGCAAATAAAATGTACTTAATTGATGTAGTGAAATATCCAATAAAATTGAAAAAAATATTATCACAGTTTCTCTATCTATCATCACCAATCATTTTCATCTTTCAACTATGTGGGGAAAAAATAAAAGCAGCTCTCAGCAAATAGCAATGGTATAGTGCCCAGTTTATTACTCATTGTAGTTACCATGTTATTTTAGGTACTTCATAGATGGCAACAGAAACATTGAGCTTTTTAATGAACAACTATCAATTTCAATAGTTGTACTTATAGCCCTACATGGTTGAAAACTGTAGATTTTTCTTTGGTACCAGGCATTGAACTCCTGACCTTGTGCTTGCCAGGCAGGTGCTTTGACCACTTAGCTCTATAACCAGCCCAACATCTTTAGATTCTAAATATGACTAATAACATTGTTTAATTTGCCATTGACATATTTAATTAAAAATCTTGTTAACCTACATCTTCACAAGTAAAATTATTTTCTTTCTTTGCAGTTTAAAACACTTTTTTTAGGTACCAGGGGTGAAACACACAACCTAGCACTTCCAAGGCGGGCAATTCTGCCTGCTGAGCTAAATTCCAGGCTCCCATTAAATAATATTTTATTAAATATATAAATATTACTTTATCCATTCAAATAGTATTGTTATTTTACTAGAGGAGACCAAAGTAGAGAGGAATTGATATACAGTCAGAGAGGAAATGGAACCTCAAAGAAGTCAGTGTAAAAACTAAACACAATAATCCCTGCTAGAGGCAAAACTGAAGAAAGCCAGAAAGGGAAGATGTAGTGACCATGTCTACATGCCTCCTGAAGAGAAAAACAATAGCTTGAAATTTACTACAGTTACCACCACCTCCTCCAGGAAGTCCAGAGAGGCATCAATTACCATACTCAATGACCAGAACAGCTGGACTATTGTTCCCAGAAAATCCCTTGGCATTTTTAACATGCTTTTTCTGGGTGACTTCTTCCAAGTTTGAATAATATTAGTTAAGCCACTACAAGCTTATAGGTTGATTGTAGTTTGAGACCCACACTGTACCCAGATTGTGAGTTTCCTGTATAAATGACCCCTGACAATATGTCTGTGATTTAGACACTGAAGAACATTCCTGAAAATCCAGGACTATCCTCCTCTCTTTTTTCTGAGAAAACTTTTTGAACATCTTTTGTTTTGTGCCTTCAGTCCTCAGTGTTGTGAGCCAACCAACTTGGTGCATTTGACATCAAACAGGGCAGGATTATATTTGTCCTATTTCAATTTGAATATGAAATATCTGCTAAAGGCCATGTTCCAAAGTCTTTGTGTGAAGCTACTTGCTCACTCTGAGTTTAAGATTTCCATGAGCTTTTGGACCTCTTCATTCTAGCAAATTGCAGATTTGTTGGTCGAAGGTGGTCACTGTTGTGCTGTAGCACTATAGGCACCATTTCGAACTCTTTATTTTTCACTGCTGCCCAGATGCTACTACATGGCCAGCTTTCCAAAGTAACATCATTCCATAATTGCCAATTTATGTCAGCTTTCATTCAGCTCTATTGTTTTTGTTTTTATTTAATAGTCTCTCTCTCTCTCTTGGTTTTCTACATTTTTCATTATTATTTTTTGTTTTTAAAGACATAGTCTTACTTTGTAGTTCTGGCTGGCCTTTCACTCTCACTGTGTAGGTTAGATTGTCCTTGAATACATGGCCATTCTCCTGTTTCAGCCTCTTTAATGCTGTGGAAAAGAGGTGGGCATTATAACACATGGTGTTTCTCATTTTCTTCCCTCTTTTCACTATTATTCTTTCATTTCAGGGGCACTGACATTTAATCCAGATGCTTGCTTGTGTCAGTAAATCTTTCTGCATCTTGAGGTGAGTTTGTGAACAACAGTATAGGAACTCAATCATCCAAAGGATAAATTTGGGATTTAAGTAGCTGAGATCAGAACACACAACTTGTATACAGACCCCTTCCCCATTTCAGAATCAAAACAAGTGGCCCTGAACTGGATTGTTAAGCATTTTTAAAAGAGAGAATCACAAAAGACATCCTGCTTTGAAACAATTTAGCTAGAATCTTAAATGAATTTTTATTTGACACCTGTATCCTGCTTCTTTTTTTAGGAGGTTACTTTTTTTCTTTGGATACAGCTCCTTTTGTTTTTCTCATGGAACTTATACCCTGAGTGCTTTTTTAATTTTCCTGGGTCAAATACAGGGCACTAGATAAATGCAGGGTGCAGGACGGCATCTGTTATACCAAGCTACAATACAGCTGAGCTACAGTGCCAAGCCTTACTATTTTCTAGAGTAAAAAGCACATAATGTTTGAATATGTCATAACTTGTGATGTTAATCCTTATAATAAAATGTGATCTACAGTCAGGACAAGCTAATCTCACTTGGTCACTCATTGTTTTCCACTGGTCTTTTCCTCATCATCCCTAAATACAAGACTCTCTGAGTTCTTAATACTAATACTCACATTTGATTCATATTCCTACCTGTGACATCTCCTGTTTCTGCAGTAGTCTAGACTGGCATCACCAGCCCATAAGAGATAGAAACTTATCTTGTGATTCCCTATATTCCAATGAGGTTATGTGTTAAATTGGACATATTTCCTTTAAAAGAATGGCAGTTAATGAATACATGAGTATCTCATGACTGTTTCTTCATGTTTCAAATAACAGCATTAATTCTTTCAAGCGTTCGGTGCACACCTGTAATCCCAGGACTTAAGAGGCTGAAGTAGGACAATCTGTTTGAATTTACAGGACTAAGAAGTGAGTCCACAGTCATCCTGAACTGCATAGGGAAATCCTGTCTCAAACAAACAGACAAAAATATCATATTATTGTGGATATCCTTGGGAAGAAGAACTCAACAGTTTGAAACTCTTAGAATCATACCTGTTAGGTTTCATCTGGTGAGTATAAGAGACCAGTAAAACTACCTTCAAGGATATAGAGAAAACTCAAAAAATCTTACTTCAAACTGTCATATAGATGTAATGCATTGCCAAAAAAAAAAAAAATACCATTAAGATAGCTCACAAATGTAGAGAAAACATTTCTAAAATTCATTTGGAAACAGAAATGCTCTAGGTCACCAAAGACATTGCTGGGCAACAAAGGCAATTCAAGAAGCATCACAATTCCTGACTTGCTATAATACTAGAAAGTTACTATCAGAAAATCAGAATTGTTCTGGCAGAAAAACAGACCTGAGAATCATCCAAAAAGTCTAGAAAATGCAAATAGAACTACAAACACACTCTGCTACCTTGTCTTTGACAAAGGAGCCAAATATGTTCAGTGGAAGAGAGACAGCCTCCTCAATAAATGGTGCTGAAGAAAATGACTTTCCTCCTACTGAAGACTTAAACTGGAGAAATGTCTATCATTATGAAATAAATATGTTAAACTAGATCAAAGATCTAAATATTAAAACAGAAACACTAATGAGGCTTCCTGAACAAAAAACACATTTTAAAGAATCAACTACGGTGACCCCATCTTATTAAAAATTATTTGTACATCAAAAGAAATCACTAACAGAATGAAAAGACAATGCTCAGAATGGGCAGGGGATATTTTTCTATTTTCTGATAATCTTCAATATCATTTCCAAAGTACTATAATTTTCAATATGTAAGTACTTTACTTTCTTTGTTAGGTTCTTTCCAAGTATTTCATTTACTTGGAGGATATTTTAAATGGTGTGGTTTCTGTAACTTCTCTCTTGGTGAGTTTGTTGATTGTGTACAGGAATCTATTGATTTTTGATTGTCAACTTTGTCTCCAGCTACATTTTTGAATTTGCTTATTAATTCTAGGACTGTTTTGGTGGAGTTTTCAGCATCTTCTATTTAGAATATCATATCATCTTTGAATAATGATAATTTAACTATTTTCTATTATATACTTATTCTTATTTCTCTCTTATGTCTAATTGTTTTGTCTAGTGTTTCCAGAGCTATATTGAATAGGAGTGGTCATAGTAGTCATCCATGTCCTTTTATAACTGTAGAATGAAAGTTTTCAGTTATTCTCCATTTAGTATGATGCGGGGTTTTCTTTGTCATTGTCTGAATTTTTTGTCATTTTCTTTTTTATTGGTACTGGTAATTGTACTCATGACCACACAATTGCAAGGCAGGTGCTTATGCCACTGAGCTAAATCCCCAGCCCCGTCATTATTTTATTTTATCAGCTTGAGGTAAAGGTCATCTGTTGTTATTTACTGTAGGGTTTTATCACAGTTCAGTGCTTGACTTTATCAAAAGCTTATTGTGCATTTATTGAGATGATCACCATGTGACTTTTGTTTTTGCCTGTGTTGATATGACATTTAAATTTGTTGATTTGCATGTACTGAAACATCCCTGCCTTCCTGGGATGAATCCAAGTTGGTCAGGTTTTAAAATCTTCTTTATTATTTGCTACATTCACTTTGCTAGTGTCTTGTCAAGGACTTTTGCTTCTATGTTCATTAGGAAAACTGTCCCATAGTTTTCTTCTTTTGGTTGGGTCTTCCTCTGGTGTTAGTATCGGGGTAATACTTGCCTCAAGGCATGAGTTAGGGAGAAGAGCTTCTCTTTCAATATCATTAAACAGCCGTGGCCTTAAATTTTTTTTCTACATTTATTGTAGAATCCAGCAGTAAATCCACCAGGACCTAGACTTTTTTTATGTTGATCATTTGCTTTTCTGTTGTCATTGTTTTTCTTATTTTTCAATGTGCTCATGAGACCAGCTCTCATTCAGTTCAAGTTGGCCTTGAGCTCACTTTGTAGCCTTGTTTAGTCTCAAACTCAAAACAATACTTGTACCTTAGCCTCCAAAGTTCTGTACCACCATTCCCAGCAGCTGATAAATTTTTATTAAATCTTCATTCTCATTAACTGATACTGTGTTTTTCAGAATTTTTATATCTTCTTGGAACAGAATTGGCATTTCATATTTATCTAGGTATCGGTGCATTTCTATATTTTCTAACCTATGAAAGTATACATTTTTCCAGTAGATTTTGATGATCTTCTGAATTTTCACAAGATCTGTAGTTATTTTATCCTTCTGATTCCTCAGTGCATGGTTTTTCAATCTTTATTTTTTTCTTTTTTGATATGATTGTCCAAGGGTTAATCAATTTTGTTTATTCTTCCAGTGAACCACCTGTTTGATTTGTTAATCCTTTGAATATTTTTCTTGTTCTGCATTGCATGACTTTCTTGTCTGGTCTTATAATTTCCTCCCTTGTATGGGATTTGTGTTTGTCTTGCCATTCTTCTTCTGGAAGATTGAGATGCAACACTTCATTATTTGTTTGTGTTCTTTCTATTTCCTGATGTGAGATTTGACTACTATAAATTTCCTTATTTGGACTGCTTTCATTGAATCCCATAAGGTACAGGATTTTGCATCTATATTCTTGTTAGGTTGTAGATATTTTTAAGTTTCTTCCTTTTTTCATCTGTTACCCATTGGGTGTTTAGGAGAGTGTTAAGTTTCATATACTTATGAAGTTGTTGCAACTTTTTTTTACCATTATTTCACAATTTAAATACATGCTTAAGAATACTATCCTTAGGCTGCAAAGTCAATCAAGTAATACAAGGATTAAGTTGTTTTTATACCTCCATTGCTATCAACTCAGCATGTCCTCTAAACCAGTCAGATGGTGGTGGGAGGAGGTGATTGTGGTGCTCCTCTCCCAGCCAATACAGTAGTTAGCTCACAGGAAGTGTAAGTTTCTTGCTTTTCTTCTGAGAAATGGAATAGCTTCCACAGAATCACAACATGGGCATGTTGGCTAGTTTTCCACCATTCCCCTTATGACTTCCACCAGCTCACAGGAAGGGAAAATTAGATTTCTGTTTCTCCTCTCTGGCCTGAGATGGCTCCAGAATGTTAATTTTCTCATCAGGATGACTGGGTGGAGACATATCATAAAACCTGCGTATCTATGTGTGTGTCCTACAGAAAATAATTCAGATGTAGGTCATTGATTGGATTGGAAATGTCTTGAGGAAAGTTGTGTCATGTAAGAGGATTTGGCATTGGTGAACCAAAAAAAAAAATACAGTGCAAAAGAACAACTTCTATATACTTGAATTGTCTTAAACAGGTTTGATACTTGGTCCTGTCATCATCCAACAATACCAGATTTCAGTGCTGAGTCTTTAAAACAGATACATTTTATATTTCATGTTGGGGTCTTTTCTTAGGCACCAAGATGGCAATAAAGGGTCCCAAGAAGGCTCTAAGAAATGAGAAACACAACATGGTCTTCAGGGCTGCATGAGAAGAGTGATCCATGGCAGAGCTCATCACTCTGCTAGCCAGCTGGCCAACTCATGCTGGCAGGAGTTGAGTGGACAATGGAGGAAACCTGATAAGGATCTTGGTAGAGGTTCAAGACCCCTCAGAGAAACAGATGATGCCAACTGCAGAGAACTATCCCACAGAAAATATCTAGGTGGCCTCAGCTGTGGCCTGTCTTGTCCCAGGAGGCATCTCTTCATTCTCAGTTTAATCATGCCTGGGCCACATCACAGCCCTGCATGAGTATTCAGCTTCAATGGCTCTAACATATCCCTCCTTTTTGTTTGGTTAAACCTTAGCTGTTGGACATCTAGAAGAAAAGATTGATAACAATACAGTATATTAGAGGCAGTAAGCTTAACATTACTATTTTATCTAAACATGAAACACCTTAGAATGTTAAATGAAATGTATTTTCTACTATCCATGGATATTTTAACATTTGAATACCTACAGTGTTAACATTGATATATTTTACATAGGAAATCAGAAATCAGAACCATACATATTGTTGTATCATGACATCCTTGCAATAATCTGAATTTCTATTTTGACATAAAATATGTTTTAGTCAATCACCCTTATCTAATACCCAAGAAGTTTCTTATGTATTATTGACCAATTTATTGACCTTTAGTGGAATATGAATCTTACAAGTCTTTGTTATTAGCTGAAGTATAAACATGAATCAAAAGTCTGCTACCATAAGTAATCCCCATTTTACAATCTTAGAGGTCTATGCCTCCATAAACATAAATATATCTAATATATCATGAATTTGGTGACAATCAACTGTCATAACAATGTGAAAAGTTTACTCAGGCATCTTAAATCAAAAAATGCATTAATTCTTTTGATATTGACCAATGTGAACATTGAGGAGTACATTTCATGACTTTAGTTAAAGTGTCTCCTATAAGGCTATGGAGATCATTGAGGTCTCTGATGAATAAACAAGAACTGGTTAAAAACTTTACCAGGCAGCCACTTTCTGATTTATCAATTAGAGCCCTGTCCAGCAATCTCAGTCATAAGGGACTTTGTTTATTCATCCTAATAATATCAATTTTAAGTAATGAGACTATCAAGTCAATGGTAAATAACAACATATTTCATTCATATACCCAGTCTTTGTGACATTTGGAATAGCTGGCAACAAGGTACAAGCATATTTTATAAATCAGTAAAGAAACAAATCTTTGATTATGTGATCCAGATATGGAAAAAGAGAAAGATTACTGAGCTCCAAATGAAAGGAACAGTTGTTCACCGAGTGGACAAGTGGATAAACGTACACAGACAATCTGTGCTGATTCAAACAAACACAGAAATAAGCAAAGAGCTTGTGGAGGTTTTTGAGAACAACTTAAGTTCCTCAGAGGCCATTTGTGTACTTGTTCAATACTCCTTTGTTAAACTAGCTCATCTCTTATACCCAGTGCTCCCAGTGCTGGAACACCTGTACACCCCAAGCACTCGGGGTCCTTCCCAGAGGTTTTGGGCCACTTGATCACTCTTGTATGGGCATGTTTGCTTTCTGCTTTATAAGCTTGAACAATCATTAGCTCAGGGACTCCCAACAACAGCTTACAAACAGACTAAACAAATACACAACTGATACATGGACAGATGGACAAACATCTTATAAAATCAGAGTGTACTTGAGCATATCAATAACAAAGCCCAATAACAAAACCTTCCTACAAGGTTAGAGTCTACAACTATAAATCAACTAGTTCACCTTTTTATAGACCAACTAGCTGAGATCCTGTAAAAAGTATCCAAGGCTTGATTCAGGGAGAGGTGAAATGGTGGAACTATGTTGTGTAGCCTGTGGTGACAACTCATTCCATGCAGAGCAAACACAAAGAGCAGAATTCCATACAAGGCCTTGGCAATAACACAGAAATGTTCCCTCTTCCCCAGATCAGCAGGGGCACCAGCCCCTGCCCACTTGAGTCTGGAGATGTTCTGTATAATACAAAAGGCTTTGTCAGAGATATAGCCTGGTAAAAACATATTTGAATTAAGTAATAAGCCTTTTTGGGAAAGAGAAGTGACTTACAGTAAATAGCACCATGGACAGAATAGTAAGAACCTGTGCAGGAAGTGCATTATTCTCCTTTAATTGTTTCAAGAAGAGATTTGAGGTTATAATGAGCTTGTTAAATGATTGCTTGGCCAGTGGCATTATAGGGGATAAAATTACATGAGAAATGTTCCATGAGGAACAAAAGGAAGCAAAAGCCTGTGAGGTATAGGCTGGACCATATTCAGGTTTAAGGAAGGAAGATACACCCATGACTGCAAATGTAGCCAGGAGATGTTGAATTACATGTTGGGCAGATTCACCATGCAGTGGTGAAGCACAAATAATACTAGAAAACGGGTCAACAGAAACATGAAGAAATGAAAAGGAAATCAAGAAACAGTGTGTGGCATGTTTACCAAGGTTCATTGCAGCAGAGGCCATGAGAGTTGACAGCATCACAGGGAAAAGGGTGAGGTATGGCAGCACAATGGAAACCAGTGGAAATAAAAGCTTTAGCTTCAGAAGGTACAATGTCAAACAATTTATGCAAGGAACAAGTGTATTGGTGAAAAACGACAAGGCTTTGTTTAGTGTTATCAAAAAGAGGATAGACTATAGAGTAAACCCAAGGCCAGACTGAACTGTATAGAGAGAACCTTCCTCAAAAAGGCCAAAGGAGTCGGGGGGGGGCTGTAGAGTATATGCAATCCTTGATCAGAAATCGCATTACCTTTTAAAAAGCCAGGTAGGGCTTAATGACCACATTTATGTAAAGGAAAAAGTGCAGCATTGTGAGGGCAAATAATTTGTACATGTAAAAAGAAGATACTAAGTGTGAGCCCATGGCCACAGGAGAGATAAAAACAAGATAAGTGAGATAAAAACAGAAGGAATAAAACAGAAGAAAACTAGCTCAATTCTTACACTCCACGCTCCCCGTGCTGGAACACCTGTTCACCTCCAGCACTCCATGCCCTCAGGACATTTCCCAGATGTTCTGTGCACCTTGAGCACTCCTGTATGGGCACTTTTGCTTTCTGCTTTACTGGTATGAACAATCAGAAGCTCAGAAACTTTCAGGACCTGCTTGCAAACCAACTGGACAAACACGCAACTGATATGTGGACAGACTGACAAACATAAAGTCAGAGCACGCTTGAGCATATCCTTAATCAAGCCAAATTATAATACTTTCTTAAAAATTTAGAATTTACAGCTACAAATCAACCAGTTGGATTTGTAATACACCAACTAGCAGAGATCTGGCATAAAAGGATCCAAGGCTTGATTCAGGGAGAGGTGAAATGGTGGAATTATGTTGTGTAGCCTGTGGTGACAACTCATTCCATGTAGGGCAAACACAATAAGCAGAAATCCACACAAGGCCTTGGCAATAACATAGAAGTATCCTATCTTACCCAGTTCAGCAGGGGCACCAGACCCTTGAGTCTGGAGGTGTTTTGTATGATACAAAAGGCTTTGTCAGAGATATAGCCTGGTAAAAACATATTTGAATTAGGGAAGAAGAAAACCTTGTTGGCAAAGAGAAGTCACTTACAGTAAATAGCACCATGGACAGAATAGTAAAAATTTGTGCAGGAAGTGCATTTTTCTCCTTTAATTATTTTAAGAGAAGAGATTTCAGTGAATAATGAGCCTCTTCAATGATAGTGTGGCCACTGGGATTATAGGGGATACAATTTACATAACAAATTTGCCATATGGAACAAAAGGAAGCAAAAGCCTGTGAGGTATAGGCTGGATCATTGTCAGTTTAAAAAAGGAAGATACACCCTTGACTGCTAATGCAGCCAGGAGATGTTGAATTACATGTTGGGCAGATTCACCATGCAGTTGTGAAGCACAAATAAAAACAGAAAATGTATCAAGAAAAACTTGAAGAAATGAAAAAGTTTTAAGGAGGAACACTGTGTAGCATGTTACCATAAGTCACTGGAGCAGAGGCCATTAGAGTTGACAGCATCACAGGGAAAAGGGGGAGGCATGGCAGCACAATGGAAACCAGTGGAAATAGAAGCTCTAGTTGCAGAAGATGGAATGTGAAACAATTTGTGGAAAGAACAAACTGATTGGTGAAAAAAGGTGGGGCTCTCTTTATTGTTATCAAATGAGGATAGACTACAAATTTATCTCAAGATCAGGCTGAAATGCTTATAAAGACACTGTTGAAAAGACCTTGCCCAAAAAAAGAGAGAATAGAATATTCAGTGCTTGATCAGTAATAGCATTATCATATCAAACAACAGGTAGGGCTTAATGACTACATATATGTAAAAAAAAGAGTGGCATGTTAAAGGCAAAGAGGAGCCTGTGAGATGTAAAAAAGAGACAATAAGTGTGAGTCTATTGCTACAGGAGAGACAACAAGAGAAGAAGATAAGTGTGAGATAGTATTATGAGAGGCAGTAACTAAGTTAAGGACATGGGTTGAAAAAATTTGCAAAGGAAGGATAACACAGAGAGCTCACTGCATTGACAAGAGGTTTGTGGCAGTGAAAAAAGGTGTTTTCAATTATTACAAAAACATATGTTACAGCTTCATGATGGGGGGTTCCATCAGTGAAGACAGTGAGAGCACTATTTAAAGGGCTGCTAATGCAATAAGTTTGAAGAGAAAAGGGAAGTAGAGTAAATAGAGACAAACAATGATCCTGGGGCATATCAAAAGAAACAGAACCAACATAGACAGCAAAGCCACTTGCAGATTTTTTTTTTTTTGGTCCCAGGGATCAAACTCATGACTGTGCACTTGTAAGGCAGGCACTCATGCCACTGAGCTAAATTCCCAGACATGAGTCTTGCAGAGGGAACAGCAGAGGACAGCAAAAAGGAAAAGTTAGCCTTGGTAAGTGGTAAGACAGTATTGATTAAATCAATTCCAAGGACTATAGGTGTTCCAGTACATCCTCAAGTGATGAGAGGGAATAGCACTGACAATGGGAAATAAAGTATTGCCAGGTGAGTGGAGTAAAACAAAACCATCAGCTCCAGTGTGTAGCAATCCTGAAAAGAAAAGGTTGTCAATAGTTAAACAGAGGCCTCAGCATTCATCTCCCAGGGGAATAGCAGTAGCCACCACAGTGGAGCCAAGTGCTTGATTTCCATGAGTAACATCATAAGTTTTAGAGAAGACAAGGCAAGACAATTAGCTGGGTTACAGATTCAAAAAAATTAGTTGAATGTGTAAGAGAGATCACAACTGAAGCAACAATATGCCCGTATAACCAGCATTACTGAGGCCAAGGATAACAAAATGC